AATGTTCACTGGCATTCATCAACAATTCATTTTTATTTATCTTTCACTCGGTTTGTTTCACGTGTTCCGTGCATTTTTCACTTACACGAAGTCTTTAAACTCTGAGGAACAGTATCACAAGTTGATAAAGCGCACGTGTAAAAAATGTCCACCGACTTTCATTAACAATTCATGTTTATTTTCCGTACATAAATGTATTCGTCCGATAAAACGACAAAGTGCACAATTAGTTGGTTTAAATCCTGCAAACGTGCAGTTTCCTTTTTTCAGGAAGAAGTGAAATAAAAATTACGGTAATCGGATGATGAATAAATTATAATCCCAGCGATAATTACTCCACCAATAAAGCAAGCAATACATATCGGACTCGAGTCATAAAATAAAAAATTCAAAGACACAAAAAATTCAGTAAAAATTGTTGCAAAAATTTTTTCCGAACGGACAATTTGTAATAAAAAAATAAATAAATAAAAAAAACAAAGAGAATTTCTCAACAGCTGCATTTCCCTCAATCTGGCGTTGTGTTAATAAAAAAGAGGATTAAAAAAGGTGATGCATTTAGTTTACAAAATTTCAAAGTATTAAAAAGGTGAAAATGAAAATTGAATACGCGATAATGACTGATGAAACAGGTGTAATTGAATTTTTTCATTAAAAGGAGGAAATAAATGGCTGACTCTTTGGCGCTTCAAGAGAATTCTTGGATGGGGTTTTTAGGGATCTGAGTGGAAAATGGTCAAAAAATCAACTGAAAGACCCGGGAGTTTTCCACGTGGCGTTTCTACAGCGAATCGGAATATTACATTACGAAATTTCATAAATTCCCTTTAGCTGGGCTCTTAGGCGCTTCTCTCGCGCTTCATCGTGAACTCGTGTTTTTCTCGTGAAATAGTAATGTCGTCAGAGAGGAAGGAGCTGAAGAAAACTGCAACATAAATCCGCTTCTACCTTGGGTTACCCCGTGCGTTATATCTCAGTCCCGGAGGTTCGTCTCGGTTCCTTTATTCTTTCTATTTCTTTATCATTTTTTCGTCTCGAGTGAATCAAACATTTTATGGAATTCATTAACATCAAATTCTATTGAGAATTTCCCCTCCTGCATTTTCTTTTTCATCAATTTTATCTCCTCTAATTGAAATAAATAAACGAGATTATAATTAATTACTTCGTAACGAATGTATCAATCCGATTTATTTTTTTTAGTTGTTAAATCAATTTTGAATATTTCCTGTTTTTTTTTTAAAAAAGATCTCGTGGGTACGTCGAGACTGGACAGGTGTTCAAACTTCTTTAAACGAAATCGGTGAATAATATAAACGGGTTGACAGTGACGATAGAGTAGAAGTTTCTTCGATTATAACAAAAGTGTGGAGGGTACCCAGTGGGCCGTGGATTCATTTGTTATTAACGAGAATTGCGATGAGAAGAGAGACGAGTGCTATGTAGAAATGTAACATCAAGGGAGAGAAGAAGATGAGATAGACTTCTTCGGGTTTGGGATTGAGGATGAGTGAATGGTTACCGAGGGGAAAAGAGGGATGGCAAAGTGCTGGGGACTTTGAACACGACTTCACACTTTGACTCGCACGACTCTCGTAAATCTAGGTAATTATCAGCGCAACTTTGCGCTCTTTCTCTCCGATAAAACTTGTGTCTCATCTCTCCTTTTCTATCCTCTCTTCGTCTCTTCCTCTCCTCTTCTCACCCTCTCTTTCTCTCATTTGAAAGGAGACAACTCTTTTCAACACGGAAAATATCAAAGAAAAAGTGACACCCCAGAATTAAATTCTCGAGAGACTTTTCACGCGTCAATATCTCTCATTGGTCATTCGGAATAAAACTGTCATTGGTCATTCCAAATAAAACTGTCATTGGTCAATTGATTATGTTATCATCAACACAAAGAAATCCAATGACGAACGCGAGGCGCGTCTCGCTCAAATGTAAACACCGGGAAAATCATTTGTATTTATTCTATTCACTATCCGAGAGAAATAAAATCTGTCATTACACTCCCAATATTTTTTTGATATTCTTACCCAACCATTGATAAGACATCCTCTCATTGGTCAATTGACTATGTTATCATCAACACAAAGAAATCCAATGACGAGCGCGGGGCGCGTCTCGCTCAGATGTAAACACCGGGAAAATCATTTGTATTTATTCTATTCACTATCCGAGAGGAATAAAATCTGTCATGACACTCCCAATATTTTGTTGATATTCTTACCCAACCATTGATAAGACATCCTCTCATTGGTCAATTGACTATGTTATCATCAACACAAAGAAATCCAATGACGAGCGCGAAAATCATTTCTATTTATTCTATTCACTATCCGAGAGGAATAAAATCTGTCATTACACTCAGGAATATTTTTTTGATATCTTACTATTGATATAAAAATATTGATAAGACATCCGGTAATCCGGTGCTTCCACAAAATTTTCATGAACTCCCCTCCCCAACCCCTCACTCTCACTCTCTAATTACTTCAATTGAAGGAAAAAAAAAACTCATGCAAAGACAATTTTCAATCACCCTCATCATCTCCAATTATTCAACAATTGTAACTTTTTTGTTTCATTTTATGTTCCAATGGTTCCCCCTCGATTTTCCCCCTTCCTCCCCCAATTGTCCACCGATTCCAATTAATTTCCATTAAAATGTGACTCCCAGTATTATTTCCCACACGATAAAAAAAAAAAGGCAAAAAGTTTAATTGAAAGGTCCATTATTGGGGTTTAAAATACATCCGAAAAGTGTAGTCCCCATTGTTCTTCAAATTGGGCAGTTGAAATTTGCTGAAAGTGGTTTTCGTGGAAAATCAATTAGCGAGAAAATCGATTGACTGTAGAATATAGACTTGCCATGGAACAATATATTGAAGCAGTATATAGTGTTGCATATAGTACAAGGGGATACATATGTTTGGCGATAGGTTGGCTGAATTTATCGTGTATTGGTCCTTGGTATGTGTTGGAAGCCTTGATATTGTATATTATGTACAAGTGTTGAGGATTTCGAGAGCGCAGAATCGGTTGTCCGAGGCCGGCAATCACGCGATGCTCCTCGCGTTATCTTCTCCCCTGCTGTAAGGGATGATACGGACGTCACGTACCTCGGCTCTTTGCTATATACCACCCATATACGCCGCAATTTCGTGAAATTGCGGTTACCTCGCTATTCTACCTATCATTCTCCTTATATACGTCACACTAAAAATGAAAATATCATTTTCTTCTTATTCCTCCCGGGATAATTTTTCATTCTTCACCAGACATTTTCCCGCCCCCTCCCACCCCCTGCCACCCCCTCTCGCTCTCAAAAGCGAAAACCTGAATTTTTCCTTTGAAAAAAATTCTGACGAAAAATCTATGAAAACCATTTTTTCAGTAATTATAATGTGGGCAAACGAATTTTGGAAATATCGTTGATTAAATTCTTTTCAATTGAAAAAAAAAATCAATTTCGATTGATTATTACATAAATTCCATTTTTCACTCACCCATTGAGTCCTCCATTCGGCAATTTTTATTGAATCCACGTAGTGGCGGAAAAAAAAGTTGATTTTTCAAAAAGTACAGCGGGAGAGAAAAAACATGGAACAATTCAGGCGCTTAACAATTCAGCGGTAATATAGGTATATTGCCAGGCAGGAGTACCGTGCAATGTTACTCTCCCCTTTTTTTTTTGCATTTTTCGCCTCTCGAGTATGAAATTTTCCCGGGGCAAGGGACGAGTTCGCCAGCCGCGATGCAATCTCTCATATCGCTCGCACGAGTATAGAATTCAATCAATGCTCGACCGGTGGTTGGTTAATCGGTCACGTACATCGTACCGAGGGGGTGGAGAGGGTGGGGGATAGTGTACTACGGCCAACCAGTGAAAATAAAATTGCCAAGTACCAAACGATGGACTCCACTCATGTGTACGTGTGACTTCCACTGTTTGCTCGACATACACATGTTCAAGTTTAAATGTGATAACTCGTATCGCGATAAGAGAAAAAAAGTGCAAATTAACTAGATGGGTTGGAACGAAATCCGATGGTGACTAGATTTCGAATCTTCGAGGTTTCCATTAAAAATCAGAGGCACAAATATTTTTGCATATTTTTTTTTCGTTTACTTGATAAATTTTAATTGCTAAAAATCTCGATTTTAATCCGCAGACAGAGTAAATTCATAAAAATTACTTCTCTCCAATCCCTTGATTAACCGTCGCGACGAGTTAATTATAATCCCAAAAATACAAAAGTCAGGAGCTGAAGGACGTCTCGAAAAATAGATATTCAGACGTCGAACTATTGAAATTGAATAATCTAATGCTGCATAATGGTTTGAATTCCCGAAGTAACTCGTTTAATTGGTGAAAGCGTCGCGACGTCGGCATGCCCCGATTCTGTCAATCTCCAGAATCACTACTACCACTTTAAATCTTCATACTATTCCACCCCGGGTTGTTTCAATATTTATAACCATTTCCCCGTCAAACGAGGTCAGAGGTGATTGATTATAATTTTCGTCTGAATCTACCGATGACTTTTCCACTTTACCCCACCCTTGGCTCCATAAACAACCGACAAAAAAAAAAATTAAAAATCGGATAATCAGGCGAGATCATGCATGATCGACGAATTGGATCCACTGGTGTTGGTCATCCTGAAATTTCAATTGCAATTGATCCTATCGATTGCATAATTGTTTCCTAGCTGTCGTCTAGGTATCACTACCGCCCCAGACTATCGAACCTGTATTTTTATCTCCGGTTAATGATGTCGATCGATGATAGTTCAATGTTCACTCTACTTTTGGATTTGCATGACTTATGCAATACGTTTTCTGGTTTTAAATAAAAATTATGTTGTATAATTATTTTTTCGATCTTTCGGTCATTGAGAATTTTTCTCTCACGAATTTCAAACGAAAATTCTAAACTTTTGAGTTGCGAAATTATTTTTTATTATTAATGTAATTAATTTATCTCGTTACAGAGTCGGATACTTGAAGATGCGTCGATCATGTGTAATTCCTGGTCGCCAAGGCATAATGTGAGTATTAAAATTATTTTAATTATTTATTTCAATTATATGAATGTCTTGATGAATGAATGAATGAATCAGATAAAAATGGTGGAATCCAGTAGTTCGGGAATTGTTATTGAATATTTTTTCCGGGTCGTCGTGTAATTGCGAAATTATAGACTTCGATTAAACCGAATCATGAGCTGTAATAATTTTTGAGTTGTTTTAATGCGCATGAAAAGAGCCATTTCACCGGTAGTCCTGGAAAAATGGGATAAATTTATGTTGAGATACGTGAAAGAGGGTTTTGCACTGACGACCAAAGAGTTGGTGAAGTTTGAGGGAGGCTTCATGTTGGTGTACTCTTCTCGTAATATTTATGTTTTACGGAGAGGGTGCACGTAGTTACCGGTAGTGTGGCCCACATAAACTGGCTAACTCGCGGTTACGATTATGGCCAGGGGCAAATTGATTATTTAGATATACGATGGGAGACCTAACGTTAGCTTTTCCAGTAAGGATAGTTTGTGCGCCATAAAAACCGAAGTCGAGTGTCACTTATGCTTTTTACGGATCCGCTTGGACACCTGTACATTTCAGCCCATCCCCTTTTCCTCGGTTTGTTAGCTTTTCTCGAGTAAACAATTATAAAAAAATGCTGATGGAAATTTCATCAGAAAATTATCCAGAATCGTTCCAATTTTTAGAGATTTTTCGGGAGAGAAATGGAATATTTTTGAAATTCCTCAGAAATAAAATTTTTTAAAGTAACAATGGGGGCAATTTTTTATTAATTCATTCACGCAACCTTAGTTCAGCAATTCAACGTACTTGAAAAGTCAGTATTTACCATAGTTGTTGTTTATTGATTCAATTTGTTGCGGTAATCTATGTCCCATCAAAGTTCTTGATTAAATCGTCGAAGAAAGTCATCCAAAAATTGTTTAATTATTATTGCAATTCAAATCCCAATCCTGCATTATCAAAATCAATTTCTAAAAACATCCTAGTATATATAAATAAATTCGTAACGAATTTGACCATTCGGTTGCCGGAGTGATATTTAATAAATCAATGATTCATCAAATATTTATAAAAAAACACAATTTCCCTGCATTAATCATTTTCAAAACGTTCTGTCGTGCTCATTGACGATCGGTAAACCATTTGAAGACTTTCTTTTTCAATTACTTAATTATTCACAGCCTACTTCCATACGCTAGTCACAAAAATACCTCCATATACTTAATTCAAAATTAATGCTCGCGTTATGCAATTCGAAAATAGTCAAAACAATCAATGAATTACGCGGCATTTCCGCACTTGATCCGAATCGAAAGTTCTAAAATAGTTGCAAACAAATTGATCGCTGTAACTATTTGAAAATAACTGCCTCCAACGTAGTTCAAAACTTTATAATATTATCAGTCATTACCACTCATTGTCACTTACAATTTTCCAGGAAAGCTAAATAAAGAATTTCTCTCATGGAGAGTCAAAATAAATACCAGCAATAAAAACACTGAAAATATAACTCATCAGACATGTCATTACTCTTTCCATAATAATGTCATAATAAATTATGACTAGAATCATCCCATTTAATGCATTATCTAACCGTAAAAATTCAGTTTCCAGATAACTCTTGAAAAAAAAATTAACCACGACATTCCATTTTTAATACCATATATTTCAAATCAGACAGCTTAATGATTAATCGATATTCGTCTGCCCCATGCATAAACGATAGTCTACCTATTATTACATCTGCAAATGCATTTACACCCCCGCGGATACGAATTATTAATTAAAATTAAACGGTGTATGTTAATTTTTTATTATTGAGAGGACTTGAGCACTCGATTATTCTTTAAATCTAAGATTTTTGATGATCTCCGACGGATATATCACCAGGAGCTTTCTCTAGACACAAGGCACTCCGCCATGCACGAACAACCAGTCTCCTCGTTTTCGTGTCACCTGTCACATTTTCTCGATTATTTTATTTATTCATGAAATCGAGACTGCGCTCGTTTTATAGCTGTGCAAGTGACTCTAGAGTTTGGTTAAGTGTCTACGTACAAACACTGGGTTTGCGAATAATTTTTTAACGGTTATTCAACCGAAATGGACCACATGGGGATGTGGGTTAGGGGATGAAAATAAAAAGTGGATTGCACTAATTTTGAAAGAGTTCACGTGGGTAAATTTTAACGTGAGATTATATTGCATCTTCTCATAATTTGGGAATCGATTGACGGATGTCTGGATGAGTCGCTCGGTATCTCAACGATAGATTGAAATTGATGGATCGATTAAGCGAGTGATGGAATTATTCATATGCGATTGTCTGAGCTGTTGAGGTACTTGCGGGGGAATAATGCGGGTACAATTTAATTTGCAATTACGTTTCGAATAATCTGGGATTATTTATATTTTTTTGACAATTTTCAAGAAAATTTTTAACACTCGATTTTTTTTATTAATCGATTTTTGAGGTGTCGATATTTTTGAGGTGTCGTTTTTCTAAGATTTTGTATAAATAGTCCTGTCACTTGTCAATTGCCGTCTTCTTCTGCTCAGACCCTGAATTATTGACGTCTTATTGGCAAACAGTTTAAAGTTCAAGTGAAGAAATTCAAGTTCTGAATGAAATGACCTCAACTCCATCAATCCTTCATTGACTATGAGAGATAGTTCCAAATCAATAAAGTCGCTGCAATTTTCAAAAGATTCTTCAATATGAATTAAATCTTATTAAGAATAACAAAAAAAAATTCCACGAATTTCCATTATTTTTTCGATTAATCGTAATTTCAGGGGAATAATTGAACCGAAAAATCAAATAATTGATCGATAATCCAGAGTAACAATTGATCAATCTCCAAATGGCGTCGCCATTAATACGCAAAGCAGTCAATTCTCATTCCCCGCAATTTCCCATCTTGGCAAAATCACCACATTATTCCCTCTATTTTTCGTACCACTTAAACCCGCAATTTCTCTTACTCGAACGTCTCCCCAGAGGTGTACAAATAAAAACCCACAGGGCTTTTTGTGGGAGATAATTCAATTGTAATTGCCTAATTTCTTAACGTCGGTGGAAATACGAGGAGAAAATAACTGGACGAGGTGGAAGAAAGAATAAAGTGGAAAACAAGGATATGTCGGTGAAAAAAATGACTCTATTAGCCCTCGGGGGGTGGATACAGGAGGCAATACACAGCAACAAGTTTAACTTGAGGGGCTGCTAACAACTCTTCTTAACCAGAGCAATTTCTACCCTATTTCAGTCATGTCCTTCTTCACCTTACTCTGTTAAACATACGCCTTTTCAACAATAAGAAGATCCCTCTTGATCCTCGAGGGTCGTAGATTAATCGTCTCGTTAACGTCCACAACAACGGACTAATCAGTCTTTTCACAAAATTCCACAACGCAAAGATTAATTATTTATTTATACAAATCCAGAGTGATTTTTCATTCTTTCCATTTTCTCGGTGATTCGAAATAAAAATCAAAGCTTTATAGCTTTTTTTTTATATAATTAAAAAATTGTAATTAATAGGAAATATTGTTCAAAAGATTGAGGATGTCGCGAATAATTCATTCGAATTATTTATTTGTGATAATTCAATTGACAAATATTTCTTACTCGTCACGCTGGAATACCGGAAGGAAAAAGAATGATTTGGGGTGTCATAAAATGCGAATATAATGGCAACCAGGAGGAGGTGGTGTAAGTGAAAAAAGAAAGCAAAGGGAAAGTTCATAAATAATCGAAGTCCCTCCCCTACCTCGGCACGACGGTGCTTTTCACATGAAACATTGATCGGTCTATGCGGACGTTACGGACCGTAATGAATATATCGTTGTACATAATACCGTGAATTTTCTGCTTGAGGGTGAATTCGCGGGAACACGCGGTACGCCTTGATTTTTATTTCCCTATTCCCAAGTCAAACAGCTGGTGGATTATTAAAACGAGTGACTCCCTTAAATCATTGAAATCGCTCGCGGTGAAAAATATTTGTCAATCCGCAATATTTTTGAGTAATTTAACACGAGAAATTGAATTTTCATAAATTTTCAAAATAAACGAAAAATTTCAATCGAAATTCAACTGTCATGATTGAGAATTTTTACCTGGAATTGGAAATTTATAAGATTAGCTCATTGGAATTGGTGATTTGTGATTTATAGGGTGAACTATGAATTTTAAATTGCAGGGTGACATTTTTGGGGGATTAAACAGCGGAATTCAGGATGGATTGCTGTCAAGAGCAGAAGCACTTGCTGCGGATTTAGGTAAACACAATGCTGGCACACCAATGCCACTGAAACATGATCCAGTATCAGTTTATCATCATGGGGCACACATGGGAAGTCCACACCCCAACAATCGGCCTCATCACCAGGTACAATCACACCTATTTGTGAGTCTAACCTTGATAATAATTTTATTACCACTTAAGTCATACAATCCATACCTGAAATTGAATGCTAAAATAATCGCACTAAAATGATGACCGATAAAATACGGATGAAATATCCAGAAATTACCAAAACCTGAAAATCATAGAAAACTCTATTTTACCATTCAATATATAAATTGTAATATAAATAATGAATAAATAATAAAAAAAATTGGGATACCTGAATTTTGGGGATAAAAAAATCAAGTCGAATGACAAGTCGAGAATAATTGAAACCGAATTCAAATCACATTTGAAATTAATCCCCACCGGATGAGTCCAGTTTGTAAACACAAGCCTCTGGTCGTTAAGTGTGCATTAAATTATCACCACGTGGGGTCCCCTCGATGTCCAAATATTTTCCCCCCCTACATCCCTGAGCCACGCAGATGGCTGGGGCGTTAAGTGTCGCATAAAGTTGGCTTTTATATCAGAAACACTGACGAATTCAATAAACGTGATATAGTTTTTGGGTGGGTATTTTGAAAGGGCTCGACATAACGAGTTTTTGGATAACTCCTCGATTCATGACCCCGGATGGGGGTTAAGGGGTGAGAAACAAGACCACTACGATGAAGGATCGACAAAGTACAGAGCGAATTGACTAAAGGGGGATGATTCTCCCTTGAATAACCCTACCGTAAGGGGTGTCAGGGTAATGATGAAATATTGCGTGGGTTTTTCCCCGGAGTATCACATATTCGTCCTGGACTCTGACGAGGCAGTCGGTTGCGGGAATTCGCCTTTTCTCAGTGAATTTTTTCTCGCACCCCTATTCCTATTCGATTCGAATATAACTGCTGGGGGTGAAGGGAGAAGACAATTTTTGTGGAGAATTGATGAGGGGGGAGGAAATATTTCTGGTCGTTTCGCCGTCTTTTATCGCACCAACAGGATTAACCACTTTGGTACATAAATATAAATTTTTCACATTCATAACGTGGGGAGAACTTTTTTTTTTCAATCGATTTTATTATTTATAACTAATGTGAAGATCAGTCGATTAATTGTTGTAGGTGTAGCTAGTTAATTTCGTGGTGTTGGTATAAAATATTCATTGTTTTAAAAATATAAGGGAAGCTCATAAATAATTTGCAGGGGGAGGCGTGGGGGGTCGTGGCACGTGCCGGGTGCATAATTGTGAGTGGCTACGTACGCACATGTAATACAAGAATTAACCGCCACTTTGCTAGCTCACCCCCACGCACACCAATTTGCGGCATTAATATTTACGCAACATTTATATAGTAAATCGAAAGCCCTTCAACATTTATTTCATTGTAAATGGATCGGATAATGAGAGTAATAGGTACATCCGAGTTGTAATGCAGTGATAACTCTCGTGATTAATTATCATTATTTTTAGTACGGGTTTTTTTTTTCTCCTGGTGTTAAATTACTAGCTGCGAGACGCGTGTCGGGTGGGGGATTTGCTATTGACGGGAAAAGGCTAGTCGACCCTTATGTATCCTATGCCAACATGTTCCTCGATGGGAATTTCAATTAAATTATTAAACTTGTCTCAACCCACCGAGGGAAACGGGTTTTGACGTGGCGAGACATCCGAGATTAATTTCACGCGCCCTTAAAAAAATCATTTTTCCTCAAATCATTACCTATTTAATCTTAGATTTAATCTTAAATTTAATTCGAGGGTCAACGGTAGAAATGACGATGAAAAATCGTTGTATCTCCCCGAATTGTTGAAAATTTAATTGTCAGCAAAAAGCTCAATAAATTTTCATTGCCTGATAAACAATTACTTGAATGAAAAATTTTCAACAATAAGGCGATCCTCATAGGTTAAATACGAGAATTAAAATGGAGTCTGTGCGTGAATTAAAAGTCGCTCGCTCGTTGCTTACAGATGAGCCATCCAGGTATGGAGAGCCTGGACATGCTGGATCCAGCGAATTCAATGACAACCCTCACCCCGATGTCAGAGGGTGGTGGAGGTGGTGGAGGTAATCACCACGGGGGCATCCACGGTCCATCGGTCTACGGTGGCATGAACGGAATGATGAGTCATCATCATCACGCAAATATCGGAGGTAGTGTACCCCATCCGCACCATCATCCAGCGATGGCAGCAGCAGCAGCAGCAGCAGCAGCAGCTGGTCTCCATCCTGATGCCGATACAGATCCACGTGAGCTGGAGGCATTTGCTGAGAGATTCAAACAGAGACGCATTAAACTCGGTGTAACACAGGCCGATGTCGGCAAAGCCCTGGCAAATCTCAAACTCCCTGGTGTCGGTGCACTCTCACAATCAACGATATGTCGCTTCGAATCGCTGACACTATCCCACAACAACATGATCGCCCTGAAACCAATTCTTCAGGCATGGCTGGAGGAGGCTGAGGCCCAGGCGAAGAACAAGAGACGCGATCCTGATGCACCATCGGTACTACCTGCTGGTGAAAAGAAACGAAAACGTACCAGCATTGCAGCACCTGAAAAACGCTCCCTCGAGGCATTTTTTGCGGTGCAGCCCCGACCCTCTGGTGAAAAAATAGCGGCAATAGCGGAGAAACTTGATCTTAAGAAAAATGTGGTGAGGGTGTGGTTCTGCAATCAGCGGCAGAAGCAGAAACGAATGAAATTCGCCGCTCAGCATTGACCCGAGGGTGGCTTGTGACAGCAGAATTGACTGTATCCACCACCACAGCCGCCATCATCGAATCTTGAGCCAAAACCCGAGCCCCTCAACGAGTACTCCGGCTGGCCCTGAACAAATTGTAATTAAAACTTTAACGATAAAATAACCAGACCGATTAAAAACGCGATGTGGTGCGTGTGAAAACTGTTGTCATGAGCACCCAAACAGCATTAACCAATTTGCTAGGGCTCAAACGAATATTAAAATAATAATAAAAATAAATGAGAACATTGAGTGTAAAGTTGGTGAACAGTTCGGCTAGTGGGGAAGTTAAAAAAAAATGGAGAAAAGAGTGATTATTTTAAAAGTTGTGGTAAAAACAAAAGAGCGGAACAAAAAAAAAATGACCGACAAGTTTACGAGTTGGTGTTCTTCGTGCTGCGGTGAAAATACAGAGCATACGCTCGGGGTAGTTTTGTGATCGATCGGACATAACCCACTTGGATAGTCTACAGAAGCGGGAAAAAAAAAACTCTTTGAAACCGGAAGTCACGGAGGGACAATATTTCCAAGTCCAAACGGAGGAAAAAGAGATATGGGTAGACGTCCCAACCGCCCATACCGTGTACTTCAGTACGATTTCCCACGCTTCGTGTCTCTTTTACCGGGTAGTTTATACCATTTAAAAACAGACGGACGTATATAACACAGAAATATAGGCATATGCGCACACGTGTATATATTACACAAGTATAGAAAATATAAGAGAAAGGGGTGGAGGAGATATACACATGAACCTAGTCACATTCGCTTGGAAAAAGTACAATTCGAGGGTTGAGGAGACCGGAGTTGAGAAAAAAAAAAAACAGAGGTAATAACAAAATTAATGAAGGTCATAAAAAATTAATGATAATATTAAACTCATTATGTATTTGTTATTAGTCAATGCGTGAGTTACGGTTCACGTGGAAAGTGATATTAATACTAATGAATGAGATTGGTTAATTAGTGATGATTTAATGGGGATGCTCGGGTTGATGATGAAATTTGTATTTCGTGGGGACAAGGGATTGGTGAAATTTTAGTGGCTGACACGTGGTGGTGATATCGGACAATCAGTGAGAAGACTGTATTATATCGTATCGAAAACTATTCCTTTTTAAATAGTCACACCCATCGTTTATCATCGCATTGGTTTTATTATCCGGGAGAGAGTAATTACACGGGTTTTGAGTTATGCTGTATGAATATGCCTCATCTTGCTCCTTACGTTTGTTCTCATTGTCTTCAATTTAATGTGGGCCATTTTGGTGATTGTAGAAATTTTAAAATGAAAAATCACGAGACGTGCGCATCCAGCAGGTGACATAAGATAACGTGAATTTATTAATCATGTGACGCAGGATTTATTTGTAAGCTGTACAAATATAGTGTAAGTGATTTTTTAGAGGGATATCAACTCTAGTCCCGGTGAGATAAGCCATTTGTTTTTCTGAACTCGTAGGTGGGAGTGTGGATGATTTTTAGTGCAATATAGTGTAATTTAATACTCTAGGTGAATTAAATTATTTTTTTTTTCTCATTCATTTGTCTCACGAGTTTGATTAATGGGGAATTAATTTGTAATAGTCAGCTCAAGGAAATAATCGAATGGGGATTGTTAATTTTTTTCTAGTCATTTATGTTGTGATATTTGAATGATTAATTGATTTTGTTTTATTTATTCTGAGACACCAATTGATCGGAGAATTATTCTGGATGATGACAGGTTTTCTGTAGACATCAAACACAGGGTAACAAGTCATATCGCAATATATGCTTTTAAATAATTCTTATTACGTAAGTATATATGTATATTGTATATATATGTATACTTATGGAGATGATGAGTAATGGGAGTTGCAATGTGGCACTGGTTCAACTGAAATGCATCATGAACTTAAAAATACCCAAGACAAATTGAATAATTATTGATTAAGCAATTGGTGTATTATTTATCCTGAATTATTCAGCGAATAATCATTTTAAAATTCGTACAATTGACCAAGTACATGATGCACCTCGTCGATCTCACAAGATATTCCCGTTGTTTTTGTAACATAATTAGACAACTCGTACAGTTCCATTGAACAAGTAATTCCAGATTATTTCGATGATTGTAAAGTTGAGAGAAATTTCCGGCGTACGTTAAACACAAGTGTTTAATTTTTTGTGTAAAAAATTAAAAGAGGGATAAAACCGCGTTAAGTAAAAAAAAAAACGCAAACTATAGCTACCTTTAATTTAAATGTTTATACAAGTTAAATGAAATATGAGAAATACATATAAAACAGAACTCTGAAAATAAAGCCAAAGCCAAAAGAATTGTTGAAGACTGAGAATTCCCTCGCGAGTCCATTTAGTTGATTATCTCATTAATTTCCCCAACAGCGAGAGAATTCTCAATCACTGACCGACGCATAAGATCGTAACGAAGACATATCATAATTAAAACGTGAAAAAAAAAATGAGAAAAACAATTACTAGTTAAATTGCCTGACAATGTAGAAATTTATGTGCGATTACGTTGCGTGCAAATTACAGAAGTGAATATTGACCGAAAAAAAAATATCGAAGGTGAAATAAAAATTCTTTTTTCCATTGATGAATGAAAAAAAAATATTGCTCGAATCTGTACATATTTGGCTGATTGTAAATGTACTTATTGTAAATTGTTCTTGTAAAAAAAAAGAAAAAAGCATTGATTTGCGAACGGTGATCTGTCGATCGCGAGATATTGTCTAGTGAAAATTCAATTGGGCTTGAAATATTTATATGAATCCGTTACCGGGTGTCTGTTACTCTTGACAGATACGACATACATCCGTGTTTGTATATTTCTCCTCAATTGTTCGGAAGCCGCAGTGACAGTCACACATGAGCATATGTATTTTGTTGGTACGTTAATAAAAAATAAATTACCGAAAAACGGAGAGAAAAACCACAAATCCCGAGAAACACTTGAAAATTGCACGCAATGTAAGACGATATGGGGAGGGATAGGGGGAGGAAGGGGGAGATGAATGAGGAAATCGGGAGGATTTTGTCTAGGATCGAGTGAATGATTCTCCCCTTTTGTTGTACATATCATGTGCCATAACTCATTTTACCATTAAAGAAAGAAAAAACTTCGTGTCCAACTTTGTTCCAAATACCTACTCAACTATAAATAATATATAGTATAATAAAATGAATCTCGATGTTATTGATAAAATATTTCTATTGATTAAACCTGAAATCCTTTCCAAATTCCTCTCGCGGAATTCCGAATTTTCTGAGTGATTTATCGGGAAAAAATTAATTTGAGTGAAAAGTGAAACTCACGTGTGTCGGATTATTTATTTTTATGTTCACTTGGAATCTGGAGAGGTGATGGCGATTGCGTGCAGACTTGCCACGAGTTCTTTGAGTGAAAATAATAAATTTATGAAGTGGTCACGAATTCGAAATCAATTCAAAATTTTTTTTACCGCGGCTGAATTTGAGAGATCTCGAACGAGTGCGCGGATGTTCTCATAAATAAACAATGAACGATTGAAATAAGCGAGTGAATAAAATTTAAAAAAAACGCGCCTTTATTTAAATCTATCAAAACGCCAGAGGACTGATTTCACTCTCATCCTTAATGAACCCCAGAATCCGGTATTCATTTCGATTAATGGAACTAATGGGATTAATAAAATCGATATATCCACTTTGCCTGGTAGTTTTATTAATTTAAATAGTCTGAGTGACTGATCAAGAGTAATTGTTACTGGTGGTGTCCCATCAGGACTGTCAGCGTCCATTTATCCTCCACCATGTGCCAGAGAGGTGCATTACAAATATGTTACGGCAGACACTAGATCATGACTCTTTAACACGACCTCGAGACACTCGCAGTTTATATTTAAACCAAAGGAAATTTCATCCTCAAGTATTTAACTCATTCTGCATCCGTTCAAACGTACATCTATGGAGTAATTGTGCAATTAGTCCAATACCAAATTCTCTATTTTCGTGGTCTTGGTATTTCCCCGTTTACTCAAACATTTGCATACACTTGAATATTTAACGGTGCTGATTACCCCAGTCATTTGGGTGTACATTCTTCATGTCTGGACTGAATATTCCAGGGAGTTAAATGCAAGACGTAACGAGACATTCCACATACCCGAGTTCCAGCTATTTCAAGATGTCCTGAATGCCAACCAAAATCGCGACTTAATGGCCAAAAAAAAAAGAAATTAAACCAATTACCTGAATTTTCAATTGCAATGGAGTTCAGGTATGATCAGGTATGATCAGGTATGATGAGGGATGTAATGAATTATCCCCGGATTTTTTTTTTATCGCGAAAAATCCCGACTCGTCAATCAGTGAATAAATAATCCCGGAAAATAACAGAGGCATTACCAGTTACATCACCACTTATTTAACATGCCCAACGGCTAAAGACTGCCGGAGCATGCCGCGGGGATAATTGCCAGAGAATGTAAACAATGATCGAGACTCCCGGGCTATTTGTTTGTACCGAGGTAGGGGGTCCCCAAGGAGTCCAAATACTCCTCTCTTTATCGCTCCCAAAAACGATGAGCCCTCAGAACGCACGCTCACAAAACAGAACACACCCCTTTGCGTAACGATGTCGAAGGGTGGAATATACTTCAAACAAAACAAAGATAGAGGAGAAGCATTAGCGTAAAATAAAGAGAAAATACAGCGAACGAGAGAGAGAAAGGGGATGAAGTGGGTGATGAGGTGGTGAGAGGGGATGGAAAATTGTTGTATATGTACTTGATACGACGAAAATACAAGGTAACATGTGGCAAGCGAAACCCAAGCGTTCCTTTTGTACTCGAAAATCCTGTTTGCCTTATCGCTCTACATTCAACCTCGGGTATTTTAAAGGCATCCTCTGGCGTTGACAATGCAACCCTTAGGGTAAGTGCTCTGTACTCTCTTTCCATGGTATTGTAACGAATTTGTTTGATCGCCTCTGACGCGAAAAATCACATTCATCTTGCCTTTAATTAACATCTTTTTTATTTCCATTGCTCCTGAAATCGAAGCTCTCACAAAAATTTTTTTATAATAATCATTATGTTATTGTTATCGTATATTGTGAATATATTTTGCAGGTTGATAATTTTTTTAAAACAGGGGAGTAAAAAATAAATAATACCCTTAAGGATTGACTCTCAATCTCGTCATGTCCTGTTATTGGAGAGTATTTGCTTGATCATTTGCACACGTTGGATAAACTAGCCCTTCTAACAATATCCCTTAATTAACCAGCATTTTATTTATTAACTCCACTAGTTAGTGAAGTAAAAAGTTCAAGTTAACTCCAACTGGGTCTAAAACTTGTCCTCAAGGGCGAGATAAGTGGAAATAACCAGTGAAGAAATAATACGGCTGGGGTGGAAAAACTTTTTCCGCCCAATGTTTTTTTATTCCTCATTGGTCATACCTGGGTTTTGTAAAAAAAAGAGGAAAGAAAGAAAAAAAAAACAAGGAACGTTTGCATGATTTCAACGTGACGGAATTACGGTCATTACGTAAGCAACGAGGGATGTGAATAGGGAGAAAAGCAACTAGGTGTTTTTCGCTCATTTTTTTTTTTCCACACAGGACTTGTTCCCTCGATGTCTGAACTTCCACCTGTGCGAACTTATCGCAATGATGCATGAATAAGGGATTGGTGCTGGCGAAGGGCGGAAAACTATGTCCTTGTCTTTTTTTTTCATATGTGGTCTCTAAATATTGGCGCCGTGTGCTCTGTCCGGGGTGTAATGTCCGGTCGGGGGCAACTGGGGGAGATAAAAAAAAAAAAAAACGTTGGAATTATGCAGTGCGATGTGGAATGCGCGCACATGACGGCACCGAGGGAAAGTGCAATGGACGATCGTCTAGGGGGAATTTGTCTGAGACGATAGGTTCCCTCATTTTCTCTTCGACCAACTCGCCCTTTCATGCTCTTTACGAAATCCTTTTTTTTTTCTATTTTTGGGATTCGTGCCGGTGTTATTGCACGCAATGCCGGAATTAATATTGCACTATTCGCGGAACACTCGAATTTTTTTTTTTCTTTCTCCTCTCGGTCATCGCAGGGTACATGATAATGATGATTGACGGTCATTTTTTAGTTTTTGTCGGGGGGAGGAAAAAAAAAGTTGATGGGGTTTTTTGGGGGTTTTGTTTTTTGGGAGACAGGGAAAATTGGGGAGGAATGGGGAGGAATGGGGAGGAATGGGGAGGAATGGGGAGGAATGGTCGACTGTGGAACTTCAGGGTAACAACGGCTTTTCAATGGCCGGGGAGATCCACACGGGCTGTGTTTTGTGTATTCAGATATAGCGAAAACTGTCGACGAGCACTGGAGCAATGCCACTGAATAATTTATCGTACAGAACACAATCACCCCCGTGGCATTCTCCACCCCGAAAACCACTACCCCCGTCGTTCTACTATTTCTTCCGCATTCATCGCTGTGAATTTCTAGTGTGTATCCAGTTTCCGGTGTTTCCTGGGGAAGAGGTGAACGTCGAGATCAGGAGGTATTATTTTCCGTCATTTTTTTTTTTTCCTTTTGCATCAGATTTTTTTTTTCCACGCAGAACAGATTGATGAACACTAATTGCACTAATTATCGGATTAATGTCACCCAGAACTCCTCATTGCGGTGACTCTCTAAGTGGATAAGATAAATGTACTTTCATACTTTATTTACCCCGTTCAATGGGTCATTTTGGGGTGCAGGGTAATGGCCAGTGAATTTACGATAATAAGCTGTCAATGCATTTATTATAAGTGTGTATTATAAGGGATAATGTTTTATTGCGTGTTTTCCGGTCCACTATCGACAGGAAGGGTCAATAATTTGGGGGTAATTGAATTAGCCGGATGTCGTTAATCCCCAAATAAATGCTCTACTGTTTTTATCGTCTGATTATCGATTACCGGAAACATTAGATTTCCATTATCGTAGATGATAGGATAGCAATTGGGGATTCGGTGGGTGACGGTATTTTTTTTTTATTTCTTTGGTATTTTTTTTTATTTCTTTGGTATTTTTTTTTATTTCTTTGGTATTTTTTTTAATTTCCATTTAATCATTTTAATTCAATTTTTTAGTCTCTGGACATTTGAGATTTCTTGAGGTCGTATTTCTCGTCGTGAAATTCAGGGGAATTATTCCTCGGTTTTTTTTTTAGTTTATGGCCACATTAATGCCGAGATACACCCCTGGAGCACTCAAGTGTCCCCTCCAACGGTTCATCACCATCTTGGTTTTCATGGAGGCTGTGTTGTTTCTTAATTGAAAAAATAGCTAGTTTTTTTTTCTGGGATGAAGGTGCGTGGTGCCACAGGAGAGTACTTAAGGGGTGGGTGGGGGGATAATTGCGTGAGATCAGATGGTCTAAGGGATGAAGAAGCTAGATGAGATGGGGACAGTGTCGACTATCTTGAGGTACACTTTAAATTAATTTGTTCTTTATGGGAGTCTCATTTTTTATTCACTTTATTAATGAAAAAAGTTCATTGGGCGCGAAGTTTATGACTTGAAGTGTTTGTTTGTTACGAGTTATCCCGACACCAGATTAAATAATTAGAGCCAATTGGAGTAATTGTATTTTACAAATGATTTTGTCATAATTCTCTCGTTTATCAATCCAGAATCGATGAACAATTCTTTGCAAAAAAAAAAAAGAATTGTTTACCGCTCTCGGAACACTCATGCAATAATAATAATTCCGTAATTTTACGTGGTACCACAAAATGGGGTAGTTTTTTTTTTATCTAATACCCAAGAAAAAGTTTCGACTGGAAAAATTTCATTTCCAGTTCTATTGAAAATTTGTAATTCAAAAACCATTTGCATGTGAGATGTATTTTTTTTTTTTCAAACTTTTTCTAGTTCTAAAAATTCGTACATAAATGAAGAGTGAAGAAAGAAGAGCGAAACAATGTCGCAGTAGTGAGGGAATTCGTGAGGATAAAATTGGCGACATATATATACCCCAACTATCTTATTCATATTCGACGAGGCACTGGAGAAAAGTAGATAAAAGGGGCTATTCTTGCTGAAATATTTATACAAGAACAACACGGTGGGACACACACACGCGATTTGCATGTCAAGCATTCTGAGCATCTACGATCACTGT